GTATTGTATTGTCCATCAGAATTACATGCTTTGCAATATAGAGAAGGCTTTAAACACTGATGACAACATGATGTAAGGAGTTACAATTTACAAAAAATATGATTAAACGATTACATTTGTAACTGAACTACAACAGTTTTCTATTATTTGCGATAGAAAACAATGCGTTGTATGGCCGGTGGCTAGTCACAAACTTGGGATACAAATTGGACTTATGACTTCAGCATGTCTGAAGGTCTGCCATGGCGCTGTTATCTCATGACTAACATTTGACGTTATTGAAAGATCAACACATGGAACCATTTTTGGAAACCAGTTGTTGCTTTCCGGCCTTTAAGAATCAGAGTTTTTTAGCGAATACCGCACCTATGAGCAATGTTATTTAAGAAAAAAGACACTAAACTCAATCTGACGATTGTGTAATTATCTGTGTTACATGCTCTCATGTAACAGACTGATCTGCTGCCAACGTGGGGATAAAACAAACCATAAAAACAGTACTTTAACTATGATTTGACCCAGCCAATCATATGAATCCCCCTGTTTGCGTTCTCATTTACTGTCTGTCTGCTGGGAGCCCATCAGCATGTCTGACTGGGCTGTAAATAGCCGAAGAATCCATAATGAAGCCAATGATAGCAGTATCATGGAATTCCAATGACCTCAGTCGGGCCAGTTAAAGTTATATGCAGGGTTATAATTATGGATTTTATTGGTGTGGAAGGACGGACTTGGTAATGACACGTGGCAGCTTTATAAGCCTCGATAGTCCCTTCATACATCAAAGGGACGAGAGAACAGCTAGCAGCTCGTCCCTAGGTCTTATCTGCCCACTTACAGCTGCTAGTTCACTCATGTGTGAGAGACAGACAGGATCACATGCACAGATAAATGCCTACTGCAGATGTATACACGTAGCATGCATTTAAACATGCATCTTAATCAAATGTTTACAACATATCTTGTGTGACTGTAAAAGCAATGTGCCATGTCCATGTACCGATGCAACAAAACACAATCATTTTGAGATCTAATGTCTGTAGAATCGACACTTGGTAGGATTCTTCAATTATTTGCCATATCTTTTGATAAAACATTTATAATTTTCACTGTATTTTACTTTTGCCCATTCTTTGCCCAGACAAATTTGAGAAGTTTAATGTTAAAAAAAGAAAAAAAAGTATTGTTTTGGAAGCGGCACTGAGACTCCGGTATCTTACCAGCAGCTTTATAAAAAATCTTCAAACGAAGACCTGCAGCAGTCATTTAGACATGAGACAATTCTCATCAAGTTCAGACACAAAGACGCATTATAATGCAATAATCAGAGACATGTATGCGTCACATGAATAACCTGTTGGGAACTCAAAGGGACGTCTCTTTCTGCTGAGGCAGCGGTTGCCAATGTGTTTGATTAGCCGCGCAGCCTTGAGCGGCCTCATCAAACGGCTGTGGAGATAAATGGAGTAATTGGCAAATCATTGGCATACTCTGCCCCCCCTCTGTGTTTCTGCTCCGACTCGCTCCCTACACCTGTTCTCAATGGCTTTTTACCGTTACAACAACTGACTGAAGTGCTGTGAAGGACCGAATTCAACAGTGATGCTTTGGTTTATCCCTTATTCTTCTCGTTCTGTCCCTGCTCGATTTGTACGATTGGTTCTTGGATTATATTAATTAAAAGAAGAAAGCCAAATCTGCAGTCAGTTTAAAATTCAGTGGAGTCCACAGGCTAAAAAAAGAAAAGAAGAAAAGATGTAGATAAAGCCGATGTATGCAAGTATGAAGTCGTCTTTTCAGACATGTCATACAATCTTGCCAAAAATAACATCAAACTCACCAAACTGACAGCCAGCGTAGCAGCGGCTGAGGCCATGTTACTGTCAAACACGCTCTTTTCCTAAACCTAACTTAGTGGTTTTGATGCCTAAACCTAAGTTCCTGTAAAGACAGAAGTTTATTTTGTAAAGACACTCTGCATGTAACGAATGGAAACCGACTCGCCGTCCCTGCCAGGTCCAAAACTGGCGCTAGAGGGAAACCTAGATTGTAACAGTTTGAAGCTTCGGGCCGCTGACCAAGTTGGGACTGAGTAGATATTGAACGAGTACAAGCCAATCAGAGGTAGAGCAGGGCACTAATGGCTGCAGATTGTGGCTGGGGACTTTAAAAAAAATTCAACTACCTTAAAAATGGCTGTGAATGAGCCCTCTCACCAACTTGGCATGTTGGTGAGAGGGCACTTCAATTATTTCCATCAAATGAGTTTTTTGTGGCAAGGTCGAAGAATAGTTAGTTATGATAAGGAAGTGAGATAGGAAAAACAACAACATGCAAGTCTTTAAAGTTCTCTTCTGCTTCTTTGTGTGCTCAACCTTACTGAAGCCCAGGAAATCTTCTAAAAACATTTTTTCGTGCTCTTCCAGTTTCAAGTTGGCAATCAAAGAGGCGCCTGCGTGATCATCACACAACAGCGATCACAGCAGTGGGTTTGGTAAACATAAGCTTTTTGTGTTTATTGATGTCAGGATGCCGTGGATGTTCAAGTTTGATACTTAAAAAGACAGCGACGGGTGAATAGTCCAATAGATTTGACTTTGAAATAAATACTGCGTCAAAAACAACTCCCTTCTGTTAAAAAAACCCCCAAAAAACAACACAACACTACCTGTCCTTACTCGTCCCTACCCGGCCTCCATCTCCGCCATCTGTGTCTCCCTCTGTTAAGAGGAGCACTTTGCTGAGGTGGGTGACGGTAATGAACTCTGACTCAGTGAGGCTAGAAAGGATGTAAATGAATGTAGATGAGGATGAAGAGTAATTGCTCACACAGAGGGCTCTCAGAGGTGTGTGTGTGAGAGAGGGGGGGGGGGGAGAGAAAGTCAGCGGGAGAGAGAGATAGTGCACCCATGGGAGCTCTTAAGTGGAAATGTGCAGCCCAGTCAAGAGGGAGACACTTCAAATATCTGTTGATCTATTAATGAGATTGAATGGATGGAATGATGAACGAGTGGGCGGATGGATGAGTGACGGTGAATGATGGCAGATGGAAGCATAATGGTGAATGATGTTCGAGAGGAAACGGGAAAGAGGAAAGAGCTTTTTTAAGTTGGAGGGAGGAAAGGAAGAAATTAAAGAAATCAAGAGCGGGGATGAAGGGAAAGGATGTAAAAAACTGAAAAGATGATGAATCAAAGACATCACAACTAAATATATGTATGTGTCATTGGCTGGGGCTCGACACCCAGCAGGCTCTCTCATTTTTATATCTTAATTATACTCACTGCGTTATTTACAGTAAGTTATTTAAGTTATCTCCTAATTATCCCACTGTATGAGTGAGTGTACAGAATATAGGAAATAAGCGGTGATTCAATCTGTCCTTGCGCAGCACGGTCGGCTGCTTTCTTTAAACCTAATTAATACAGAGAGTTTTAAATCTGGAAAAACAATCTTTATTGGTAAGTGGTATGTTTGGAAACCCATCTGTCTGCATTAACTGGAGAAATATAGAAATATATGTCAGGTTCATATTTTCAGTGTAACTTTCTGGGATCGCTTCCTGCAAACACATTTATTTACACTCGTTCGACTGGCCGGATTCCAGCAAATATTCCCACGGTAAATGAATTTAGCTACTATAAATGTCCCCGAGTTTCCCTGCGTTTCCTCTCGTGTCTTCCATGTCCCATCAAAATGAATTTGAGCAACGACAACATCCTTTCATTGATTGCTGCTACCTAAGACATTCTGTAATCATGACTCCATAATATTCTGATGTCAATTTAAAACATTTCCAAAGCATAGTGTTAACCTCACTTGACATTCATTATGGGTGTACCACGAAGCGAGATACGTGGTTCAGAGGCCGTAGGATGTGCAGCTGTTACATTACAAATACACAGCATACATATTGGCATCAGACTTCATTTCTCATCTATCGGATGATCTGCTCTGTTGCGGCTTTCATCGTATGGGGATGCTTTGCTTGTCTTCATGTTTTCACAGTGAACAAATTTTGCCTTCAATATTAAGCCTCTCTCACAGGAAATCAACTGTCGCAGCTCCGTGTCACTTACCTCCTGTCTAAGGGCCTACATGCCACCTTCCGGTTGGCAAATATGAGCTAATTTGTCAAATGGCTACATGTCAGCTTCTCCTTCCTGAGGCGTCATGGATATATGAGCTTTCCACCATCATTCTTTTCACCGAGCTTTAATTTTATATCTCAAAAAAAAATTAAAAAATAAGTCATTCTCTCCTGCTAGTTGTCATCTTGCTCCTCTCACACCAACACACTCGCACCCCAACGCGTCAAATATCGCAGCTTGGTCAGTGCCTCTAAGCTTCAAGCTATGACGCTCTACGTAACCCTCTGCTGTCAGTTTTAAACATGTGAGGGCCGGCGTGTCTATACACGCTGGTTACATGCATGGTGTCTCCTCTGTGGTATTTGATGCATTGGTAGTGAGAACGGGTTGCTCATACACAAGTACTGGCTGCACAGATCGGAACCCTGCTCTCCTCACTACTACTGACTGCTTATGATGCTAATGTATATAATTCTACTTTGCATTTATTGTCGGTCAATTTGACACTGCGTATCAGCTCAGCTAAAGAAGTGTGTGTGTGTGTGTGTGTGTAGTATGTAGGCTACGTTGGCAGTTTGAGTAGGTTAAGTGTTAAGTTTCAATATGAGTCATGCTTAAATTACACTTCCATGAGTCAAGAAAATGCACCTTTCATATCCTTGAAAGCTTTTCACACTTTTCAGCAGCAGATTAAACCTCTTGAAGTCAATATCAACCCAACCACAACCGAACAAGAACCAGCAACAAATACCTTCGGTATAAATAGTCGCAGCAACAAATACCTTCGGACAAACAAATATGGTCGGTAATACAAATTCAATAAAAACAAAAACGTCAGTACTCGCTTTAAATCCACACTTTGGATCATGACCAACGGTCAGTTTCCGTACACGTCAGCCGGCCACTCACCCATCACCCGGAGCCTCTCGGCGCCCACCACTACTTCCTGCTCGTCGGCAGAGAAGAGGAGCTTCCCGGAGGTGGATTTGACTTCAAACATCTTGCCTTGTGCTTTAAAGCCACTGGATCCTGAACCGAACAGACAGAAAGAGAGGAGACATCAAAGAGGAGCGACTGGAGCCGGAGCTGATTTCTTACTGAATTAAGTATTCGTACATTTAAAATCGACCCAGGTGGAAGACATTTAAGGTGTCCTGCAGGACTTGCTGACTTAAGAAAAACACTACCAACCCCCATCACACTGTTTATGAATATTGGTGTCTTTCATGAGACTGCTGAATATTAAACATTTTCAAAGAAATTCATTGTATCCTATCAGACATTTGTGTGAAATTGTCTTAATTGGCATAGCAATTACTGGGTTATGGCCAAGAACATGTCTTGTGAGGTCAGTGGATGTTTGCATACCTGCTTTGACTTCATCTCTTGAAACTTTAGACTTCAATAATTAAAGTATGATGACATATAAAAAGGTCAACACTTCTTAATCCAGAAAAGCATTATGTAACAAAAACATTGAGACGTATAGAATGAAGAAGCAAACAATTTGAAACGGTTTGTGAGGAAATGTTTAGAAACTACTTCATCCCGATGTGACCTGCTGGGGAAAGAGATTTCCACCACGATATTTCACTAAAAGGTCTGCAGGAAACTTACTCCAAGCTCGTTTTAGTTCCGAGCTGCCAGAACTGTAACTGGTGTCACGACAAACAAGAAATGCAGACAACTCCCTCCAACTCAAATTGCTTTGTCTCATGCGGCGGCAGAAAACACTCTGCGCTGGGGGGGGTGACTGATTGACACCCGTGCAATTGATTCTGTCACTCTCTATCTGGGAATAGAAGTTCCTCCGCATTCACGAAGACCGCTTATTCATCCAAGAGGAACATCCGAGCAGGCTTCGTCCTCCTCTTCAGACCCCAGAGGGGGAAATTTCAGCACACTTTTTTTTTTAAATGTGAGAGACACTTCCTGTGCATGTTTGCACAAAGTGATTTCCATTCACAGAAGACTGCCAACTCTATTAGAGAGTGACAGGCGAAGAATGGGGGGATGTAAAGAAGAATCACAGAGTTATGGTGGTGCGACTGAGGCCTCTGCTGGCACAGTTAAGTGGATCAGAGGAACTATTTATCTAAATCTCTATCCAGCCACTCCTGACAGAGCCGTGGCTCTGGACCTGAGAGTCTGGACTCGTGCATCTGTTGCAGCTGATGTCGTCACTGTTGTCAGGTTTTTGAAAGATGAAAACATGATTTACATCAGAAAGAAAACATGAATAAACTACATGACAGCTTGCTGCGTCTTACCTGTTACAAGTTGTGTGAGCAGCTGGTTGTTGCTGTTGACGATATTGACCGATATGTTTCTGGACGACTGCAGGAACAGTGGGCGGCCCTGCGAAAAGAAGATGGAGAAGTTTATCGATTTAGTTTGTGGTGCAATGGTTATTTATTGATTCATGTTTATTTTTTGGGAAAAGTATAAGGAAAAAAAAGAAACATCACCTGTTGAAGACAAAAGACCAGATACAGACTTTTTTCTTTTTTAATGGGACACAACTAACTAAATGGGTTCATACTTTTGTTTGTGCAAGAGGGTACTGCTGAAGACCCTCAGCCCCGTTTCCATTCACATATTTTGATACGCATTTTGAGCATTAGAAAAGCTTTATAGAAACGGCGAAATTCAATAATACTTCCTTATTTGCGACTGCAGAAATATGTGGGATAAACATTTGCTACTCAGACTTTATTGGGCAAAGGTGTTTGTAGATCCAATTTGACGCGTCGACTCTTTTTCAACAAAGAAGGAAACCACCTCAAGCGAGCGTTTTTAACTTTTCTTCGTAATTGAGGAAGTATTATCGAATTTTGTCATTTCCCTTTAGCTTTTTTAATGCGATACTTAAAAAAGAGCATAAAAATGTGTGATCATGTCGACCATGCAGACGTTAGCATTTAGCTGCATAGACTTTTAGCCTTGGTTGTCTTTTATGGTTGTATTCCAATTGTTTCATCTTGTGTCTCCTGTCAACAGCTTCAGGCGGATCACATGTGGGGAAGAGCACATACACACGCATATAAATGTACAACTTCACACTCAAACACGCACACACCATAACTGTCCGATGGCAGAGACTCCAGCCTCCTGCTCAGTTTGATAACTTCCATTTCCCAGAGTGCCCAGCACCAATCTGTAATGCCGATCACGTCGGACACTTTGCTCTTTCTGTGCCCGACTAATCTTCATGCCTCAGTCAACTTCTTAATTAGAGATAACGGCCTGACCATTGTGCTGCGCTCGCAGCCGAGCAGGGGATATGTCTTGTGTGTATAATACTGATAACATTATGGCTCTCGCCAAAGTTATTGAAGTTCTCACAGTAAATACACCAAATGTATGGTAGGCAAGCGAGGAATTATGACAATAACAATGTGTTGTGACCTGAATGTAAAACTAACCAGTTTGAAAAGTAGAGCATAGTCCACTCGTATTCTAAGGTAGGGCTGTGTGTGACTAAAAATACTTTGCCTTTCAAGATGATGCTGCGGCACGGTTATTCTTAGTCTGGTTTACTTCTAACATCATAACAAAAAAAACGTACTACCATGACCCAAGTACGCTTGTCAAAATCATATAGTTAAGAGGAAACAATCCCTGTACGGCTTTCAAAAGTACAATGTTTTCTGAAAAGTTAAGGTTACTCTCAATCACTGTTCCTAAATATTCCAAATTGCAGACAAATGCCCATCTCTAATCTAATGGTGGTTAAATGTTGCTGTCAGACAAGCTCTTTGGTTCTACCTACATTTATTTCAAAAACACTTTGTCTCACACCAACGCAGGAACACACATGGCCCAGACTGTGTAAGTGCATCCAACTAAAACTTCCTAAACTACAGTGAGGCAGTTTACTGACAAACTGTACTTTAGGGCCATAAATCAAAAAAAGGAATGCGACTGTACAGGGACTAAAGCGTTGCCAAAACACACAAGAACTGACCATGTGCTCAGACAAACTGAAGCTCTATAAAAAGTCAGTGCAAACAAGTGAAGAGTGATTCCTCAGTACACTTTTGGAGAAACAAACTGTTTTTACTTATTACTTAAACATCACTGCAAAAATGTTTGAAAAAAAACAAACCAGGACTTGTGTCTCAATAGACTTTGTAATAACAGCGGTCTTACGGGTTCATTGCATGTCTCACTGTACGAGATGGGTCTAATGAAATCTTGGTCTGCAATCTGTGACAGACTGCATGATATCTATTTCGAGGCATGGCAGATTATGAGATAAATGCCTGGCGGACGGTACAATGTTTATATTGCTGCACTAAAATGGGAATAGAGAAATAAATAATGACAAGCTTTGGCCAAAGGGTTGTGCTCAGAATAGATTTATACGCCCCTATGTGCTAATTTTTTGAATACTTTGGCCTATGGACTAGAACCATCTTTTTGGATTCACAATGAAAGAGCTCCCCACATTGCCAGCTTTTGACTGCAGCGGCCGTACGATCGTACAGTGTTCGGTTTAAAGCGGTGCCCCAGTGTGCTGAGGAGTCACCGCTCACTCATTAGCTCTCATTACCTGCAGCTGTGCTGACATCAATACAAGACAAAAGATGGAGAACGTGAACAACATGTCTAATCGATCAACAGTGCGGCGTTCAGGCAGCAGAAATGGGCAGTTTGACTTGGATCTAAATCAGTCAATCTTTTCATGTATTCTCCTCAGCTCAGACAAAATACTTGCAAAGTTGCTCGATATCTTGCTTATTTCAGCTTGAATTCCCATATGAGAGTATGGGAAACAATATGTTTTTTAGGAATTACACATACAGCAGGTATACTGCAACATAAGCACTTAGATTCATGTTTCTGTCAATTCATAAATCCAGTATTTATTCCCATTTGAGCTCTGTTTTGATCTCAACTAACTCAACTAACACTAACAAAAGTGAAATTATCTGTCTAATAAATGTCTCTTTTTCACAATATTCACCATCTAGTTTTGTTAATATAGAAATCAGAGCAAGGGTTAAGGGTTTGATCCGTATCATTATAAGCTACATTAACTAATCTATGATACTAGTTTGGTCACTTTCTGAATCGTGTAAGTAAAAGGTTTTCTATGACATTCAGGTAACAATGTCCACATTCTGAACTGAACAAGAGGAAGATAGAGGGCTAAACGACAAGAGACATGGAGAAAGGACTCAATAGAAAAGAGACAGTGCAGTGAGTGAGAAAAGACTGCAATCATATTAACTGCAATGCACAGCAGGGGTCTTCCTGGGTTTCATTTTTTTTAAATCTCTCTTCCTATCCTCTCCTGCAGTCACCAATTGCTTTTTGCCATCACCTCCTCCTTGGTATTACTATTCCTCTCACTTTCTCTGCTTAAGCTACAGTACCGTCCCTCAATTCCTTTATCTGTCCTCTCCCTGTTAACTTCTCCCTCATCTCTACTTATGGTATGGTCATTTAGTGTTTGTAGCAAAACGCTAATTTACACCTGTGTGCAGGTTACCGTTGCTGTATGAGCATCAGTTACATCAGAACTGGAGAGTACATCCTCATTGAGAAAAGAAGAGCAAAGCGTGAAATGAATGCACTAGAAATCTGCAGTCATTCATAGCTGCTTCTTGTACTGTTTGGTGAAGTCAGGACTTAATTTCAATATTAATATTTTACCCAGCCACGATATCACACTGCGAGCATGTTGTGCTTGTTTGAGTTAGTGTTGAACTTGGCCGCTTCCTGCACGTTGCTGCCTGTCAAAATATGCTCGCTGGCTTCCCATATCTCTCGTTCTAATTCAGTCCTCGTCCATCTGTCACCCTGTTTATGTCTCCATTACTACCTCTTCTCCTTCCCTCTCATTCCCCATCTTCATCATCTCCATCTTTACTTGGCTCTCTTTTCCTACCTCCCTGCATTGTGCTCCATCGCTCAACCTCCCTCTCAGCTTGCGTAAGGTCCAAGACAGCGGAGATAAAGCCTGCTGCTCTCTTGCATTATCAAGACATCCGTCCACTACCTGCACACGGCTGTTATTACTACCAGAATATAAGAGACACAGGGAGAGAGTGCATATCAGTTTATCGGGCCCATCTCTCCATTTCTCTGACATCTCTAGGCCCAGATACTCCTCTTGTAGTTGCAGTGAGGACAGCAGGAAGCACATCAGAATGCTAATTTTGTAAACAGAACATACCAGGGGGACCGCAGACAGACTTTGCATTTGGATCGCTAAACACTAAAGATTTCCTGCAAGAAAACGGCTGCTGAATGAAGTTCTGGCTCTGTGCTGCACACTGGAGGCATAGTTGTTGCATGCGCTTCTTTCCCCACAAAGACCACCTGGTCTGAAACAGGTGCACTCATGGAGCCATATGGTGCTTGTCATGATGTCGTGTCTTAGCTTATTGTCTTATGACATGAGATTACATGACATGACAAGTCTTGTTATGACACGGAATGGCTCGTCTTCTCTTATTATGGCGTGAACTGACTCAAAATATCTAGTTATGCATGGAGTTACCATATCAATGGTCTAGTTAAGTCGGTTTCATGTCTTGAATCACCTCGTCCTGTCGCCTCTTTTTACGAGACAGCTTAACGCCACACCCCGCCGAACCACGGCAGGTCACATCTTGCCGTGTCTTTCTTGATTCGTCCAGAGGTGACATGACACAAAAGGTTTGGATTTTACTATGATATGACATTTATTGGCATGGGGTGGCCTGACTTTAAATGGCATGTCTTGCTATGGATGTGGCACACCATGTCTTGTCTTATAAGAACATTTCTTGACCTGACGTGACGTGACATGGCGTGACATGTTTTGTCCTGAAAATGCGACTGGATGGCTCAAGTCCTTGCTAAAATCCTCTCCTTCACACTACCATAATTGATACCAGAATAATTCCGTGCTAAGATCTCTGCAACAAACTGCTTTTGAAACCATCTTCAGCTAACATACATGAAGCCAGGGTTCATTCCAAAGACCATGCCTTTGCTCCTGATTTACTGCCACTGAACCTCACTGTCTTAACAGTGAGGTTGCAAAGGTTGCTCACTGCAATTAGTTCCACCTGCTCGTGTCACTTTTGGTTCCAAAAAAAAAGATGGCGATGGCCAAAATGTTGAATTTCAGACTTAAAAAACACAGTCCACAAACCGATGGGTGATATCACTGCGACTACATTCTCTTCTTATTTACAGTCTATGTGGCAGACCAACAGCACACAAGACAGGCTACATATCCTATTTGACCGAAGAGCGTTTCAGGATCCTTTAGAAGTGAATAGAGTACATTTGGGCTACTCGGCTTAGTCTGCTGACACCATAACCTGACTCCAATATGTAGCAGAAAACGGGTCGATGAATTTCAGCTACCTTTGGGAGAACATCTAGTGTAGAACCTGTCCTTCCACAGTCTCCGTGTTAGGGGATTTTGAAAGCCTCTGCAAACGTAATTTAAGCTTTGTTAGAGCAACATTTAGACACTTAATGAAATCAATACAAGTTATAAATGCAGGCGGTGTGGGACCACTTGTAGTTTGATGATTCCAGTATCAGTCCCAACAGGATTGTCTCACACGCTTTTCCCCCCACTGTGTTTGATGTAGGCTCCGGGTCTCAAATTCACACCGTCACACTCACAGTCATTAGACACTCATTTCTTCACACCATCGCAACTTCTATCCTCAAACTCTGTGTTGTCATTCATCCAGTATTACTACTTACATTGAGGTAATAAATGCAGTTTTGCATTTATTTGGGATATGCGGAATGACACCAATATACCACTACTGGAATGATTGCTTAAATGATTCCAGGACTGACTGATGGAGTTTAAACTGTGAGCACAGCGTCCTGTCTTTCTTCCTTACAGATAGGACATGCTGTTTATTCCCAAAGGTGTGAGCTAAGCATCGTTAGCATGGCTAGCTTAGCCTTTGCACAGGCACCAAACACAAATCTGAATTCTTATGTGTGTCCGTCTAAAATAAATATACATGTGTGTCTTTCTGTGAGTGACTTACTGGTTTGGAGTGGATTTCTTTGGCATAGAGGGGTTGGAGGAACTCAGAGGCCCCTTCCAGTTTCAGACCCTTCTCTGTTATTCTCAGGTTGCCCATGCCGTCCTGTGAGGAACAAAGACACAGTAACAGTTAGTTCATTATCTCTTCTTGTGCTTTTAGAGCAAGCATACATCAACTGGTCATGCATTCCACACATACCCTCATCTATCTCCAAACATACTTTGTTAAGCTACAGTTCAACCACACTCAATGCAACCATCAGCGTTTCCTGAAGTCAAAGCAGTCACAGAACGGTATAGGATGAGCAGTCTTCGTGACAACGATGTAACAAAGATAGAAAGTTATGTGAAGTTTTGATTATTTTTTCTCAATATGTGTTCTATTTTTACCACCAACATCAAAGAGGAGTCAGTGCAGCAGTTGTGGGCAAGCCAAGACTGTTCACGCTCTTCTCTCCACGGATTTCCTGCCAACATGGTGCACAGCCATGAACATGAATCGCTGGCTGGGTCTAACACCTGCCACTTTATTTTTTTCTGACACCTGCATTTTGATTAGAAACACCTGTTATTCTTCTATTTGGCAAGATCGATGTGTGGGGGAAAATTGTAGTTAATATCACACACACCTGATGTTTAGAGATAAGATGTTATTGTGCTACACAATCACAGATTATCAGGTACAAACTCTGAACACTGCACACAGACCGCATTAGACTCATTAAACTGTCTCCCTAGTTGATCAGCCGCCCTAATCTCCTTTAATCTTTTTCAGTGCAGAGTCAGTGGATGATACTTGACTTCAGCATTAGCTTTACAAACTGATCCATTGGCAAACGTGGCGTACACAGTGCATACATAAACAGTGCACAAGCTCATTGTACTTCAATATCAAATACAAGAGAATGAGTTGGTTTTTTGAAACCAAATAATATTGATAAACAGTTTTGAGTTTTGAGAGTTGATACTGAGGATATCTACATGGATGTGATGTGTACATAATGATTCAATAAGGAAAACCTCATATCATTCAGTTATAAAGAACTTCATTTACTTGGTAAATTTGGTAAACTTTGGTAAACTTTGTCAAAAGTTAATGTTTAAGTGAACAGTTCACTTAAACATTAACATCCAAAAGGCACATTTGTTTTCTCTCCCTGGAAGCCAAGCTCATTAAAACACAGCCAAACACCACATGCTTATGCAAACTGTATTTGGTAAATAAAGTCAAGTAGCTTAAGGTGGCAGCAGGCATATTGTTTCAGGAAACTGGGTAAATAAAATAACATAGGAGCAATCAAGACCCAGAGGCAAGGAAAACCCATTTGAAAAGCTGGTCCCTGAATGAAATCGTCCAATCAACAGCAAAGAGTAAAACACTCATGCTTCCCCTTACCTCACCAAACACAGTCAAAGTACATACAAGTAAGGCATCGTCTTGCTGACTGGCAAGCTCCTGCACTGCAATATTGCAGTGCAGGAGCTTGCCAGTCAGCCAAAGGTATTGCAGCAGTGTTACAGATGCTTCCATTGTCTGAGTCTGTATACTAGAACAGCAACAGACCAAAGGATATTAACCAGCAATGATAAGAGGAGATTGGTTCGGGGGCTGCTTTGACTCAAATACAACTAGCAAGGCTGACCCTTCACTTTTCATCCAGTCATTGTATATATTAAATGAGATCACCCCTGGATCGTTTCAAAGACAAGAGTGTGATAGAAGAGTAAGTAAGAGAGAGAAAAGAGACGTTTATCTGCCAATGTGATCTTCTCCCGCAAAATTCTGTTTTTGTTTCCCTGCTGTCTTTTGAACCCACAGGTTCAGATGAGCAAATGGAGATCAAGACCCCTTGAAATCCCAAAGTAACTGAGGACTGCTTTCAAGCCTCCTTCATGTAATCCCCCCCCCCCCCCCAACTGTGTAGAACATATTAAAATGCTGGCACTGTTGTGGCAACAGGGGGGTGAGTCCTGGACGTGTTGTGATTTTGAATTATCCCCAGGTGGAAATCAGCAGGCCTGTCAGAGGAGGCCGGCAGACGCTATTTAAACTCAACTTCCAGACACTTTGATGATGAAAATCAACTGTAAGAAAGGAGACATATATTTCCCCTACTTGGAGGTTCTCAACAGAATATTCATAAATACAGGTCCTCGCAGACATACACTGCATATGTCTATTAGAGATAAACTCACAGATTCGTGTGGACCCTCTTTACTGAAATGTACAGCCTGCACTAAGTGATTCCTCCCAATGGGTGGTTCGTATCTTAGTCTGAATAATCGCTGAGGATGCATAATAGCTGAAACATAATGTTCTCCTTCAGTCTGTACCTCTTCCTCTCCATTTCACACATCTCTTTTCTCTGTGGAGATACATCCTAAAACACACTTACAAAGAACTGAATTTTAGGAATTCACAAGTAAAGCCCGAAGTTAATTCAATTTCTATAAAAAAATCACGTTCTGGTGTTTCTTTCACTTGTAAACTCAATCTCCTAACAGCTGCAAATGGTGCCATTGTCCATTGGAGAACTGCAAATCAGTGTGAATGCACGACAGCTGTCAAAGAAAAGTATAATGACGAATGTGAGAAAGGGAAATGAATAGCGTTTCAGGATAAAAATGCTCATAAAACGTTTAATGAATGTCTGTGGAGTAAAAGTACAACCCCCCTCAGCTGCATTGGAGGCTCTGGGAATCTGTCATCACTGAAACATACTCATATTCTGTAACTGTATAAATGTTGACACGTCAAGGTGTTGATTTCAAAAGCAGTAGCAATAGTATTGGTACAGTAATAGTACTTATAAAATAAATTAGTGAGCACTTGGGTAAGGTGTGTGAAATGCAAGAATACAGTATGTATCACATTCCATTTGATTTGTGTGTGTGTGTGTGTGTGTGTGTGTAAATTGACATTCATACAGAAACGGAAAGATGATTGAGATACCTCGTTTAACTTTCTCTGCAAAGATAAACAGATTTTTGCTGTTTCAGCACCACGGAGAGAGACACAGAGACAGAAACCATTGCTGTGTCCATAAACCCTGCTCCCTCTTCAAGGAATCTCAGTTAAGGGTACTTCCCTCCATTCCTTCATTTGGAAAACCCTGGAAGGTCAACAAAGCAGACATCACCTCAGTGCGCCGCCTTGGTAACTTAAACATCCCGGATACCTGTTGCTGCTACCCTGGACATTTTTACCAACTGAATTAAAATATTGAAATTTGCTCGTTTCATCCCTCGCTGAAATAATATTTGGATTGGCTATCAATAGCATTATCGTTAAACTGCTATGGCTTTACAAACCATTAGTTTGGTTAGTTTTGTAACTACAACAGCTGGCATTAATGCAGACAAGTACCGCCAATGCTTTTTGTAATATCGAAGTTACACTGAGCCATAATATTACCATATTATTAATATGAGTTTGGCTAATCCCGGTGAATGGAAATCCTGCGGCAAAAGTCATCAGGAGATTTCGTCTAAGAATGTAAGATAATAGTAATAATATTCATTGTGTTCAACTCATTCCAGCTGCATCCGTCAGTCAAATCGTGGTCTCCATGTCAGTGAAGAACTGCAATTAGACTTGACTCAAAACACTGAACACAGCTGCACTGTTGCCAGATTCTTTTCTAGTCAGAACCCTTTCTTTTTATTCTCTGCAGTGAGCAGTGCGCTGCCGCCAGCACAGCGTGGCGAGCAGCCATGAATAATTCAGACCGCTCTTAACAGGACAGAGGCCTCTGAACACTCAGGTGTGCCTCCTTGCGTCTCTTCCAGCCTCTCCTCCTTTCCTCTTCTTCGCCCGCTGCCTTTCATCTTCTCACAATCCACTCTATTGTTCGCTGCCCTTGCTGATGATCCTGTTTGTCAGTTTTACATTCCTCTTGTGTCACCTTTTTGTTCCATCTCCATGTTTGTCTTCTCTCTCACTTTTCCCCTCCCTCAATATCCTCCCTAACTTCTCTCTCTCTAGCTTTGCTGCCTCCCGTTTTCAATTGTTTTCTTCACCTCCCTCCCTCTTTCCACCCCAGCTGGAAGGTGTTTCTATTCAATATTTAAAAAAATACCATGCTGTCAGAGCATAATGGCAGGTTACAGATAATGTCATGATTCAACTGGCAGTCTCACACCGTCACAAAACTTTGAATAATACTTCTCACTTGTCACAAATAAACAAATAAAATATGCATATTGTGTCAGACGAGCTGCAGGGTCAACGGATATTTGTCCTTCAGTCACAAAAGCTGATGTGTGACAACATCTATACCTAAAAAACTGACAACTAAATGAATGTCACAGCCTAATCAGTAGATTTATGAGCCATTTATCACACTGCATATCCTGTTCAAAATCCATTCTCTTAACAAATTCTGGCAGGATACATACAATAGATAAGGCAGGAGGCAGCCTGGATAGACTGTAGCCTGCCTTTCATCAGTGTTGGTGCTTTCAAATGGGGTCAAGTTCACAGCAGTCATGAGGAGAATTTACTTGAACGACCGGCCGATGTAACATTTGCAATTTAATTAAGCAGGAAAAAGTGGAACATTTCTGAAAGCTAAGAATTCACAAGTTGTCAAACAAACTGATGATTTAAAAACTGTTACAAATCATAGACGTTTTTAAAAATTTTAAAATCAGTCAATTGTGTTGTCTCCCTTTGTTTATTGTTCTCATGACAATGACATGCAGGAAACGCTCTCAGTCTATGTACATTCTTGAAACAATGTCAGTTGACTAGTGTTAAACCACTAGCCATGTGTATTGTGCTGTGTGTGTGCTTAACTTCCCATGTTAAAAGTATGACCCTGTGAGTAACATCTCAACAGCAGCATGAACAGCACTTTGTGTTTGAATTGCCGTGTGCAATGACTACTTCAGCCTATTAGAAGTGTTAGCTAGACCCGACGTTTTGGATCTCTCTCTCTCTCTCTGCAACAAGGACCAAATTGATCTGCACTTATCCCAACATTGCCTCCACTGTCACCACTCTTTTAGCTTGATAGTTATTGATAATGTATTGTGTTTGTGTGTGTACTTGGGCTTCTCTCTGAACGCGTGCTTCTTGGACTGATTGTGTGTGGGTGTGTG